GCGCCCGGAGGCGTTGTGCCCGCTGAATTCGGCTGGGGGACCCTCGCGGAACGTGGCCTCGGCCACACCTGCGGGGAAGGGGAGCGTCGGTGGATGGCTGTCGGCTCCCACGCCCAGCCCAAGCACTGGGATGATGCCGTCTGCCGCCCCCACCCTCCCGCCATCTCGAGAAGGGGGCGGGGGCACATACACCTACTTATCATCTAATCCCAGGAACTGTTGCCCCACCTCATAACTCCCTACCTTCAGAGAATCAGCTGCAGGCTGGAGAGACCTACCCTATCATACTGCACCCAACCTGCCCTCCAGGTCACAGATCGGGCAATAATAACCCCTAGAAAAATCTGCCCCCTTCCCTCCTCGTTGAAGTTGCTGTGTCATCACTGAGGCTCACTCTTCACTGCAGTCATCTTGTTAAAATGCTAATCACGGCCTTCTCCTGGTGGCCCTCCCATGGCTCCCCACTGTCCCTGAAAGTCTCAAGCTGCCTGGCCTGGCATTCAAGACCCCTAGCAAACCTGCACTTGTGTTTTAGTTCTTATAAACCTCAGAGCCTTTGCATATGTTTTGCCCCTTTTCCTGAAATGTCCTTCCCTATACCAGGTAGAGTCTTATTTGGCTTTGAAAACTTAGCAGGTGCTTGAAGATCCTCCTCCAGGAAGCCTGTCCTGGGCTAGGGCTGCTGGCATCCTGGTCCACTGTCTCTGAGCCCTGAGAGTAGGGGTGGGGTCTAACCCAGCTTAGATGTCCAGCACCCAGCATGTATGCTGCCCAGGGCATGTACTCACAGACAAAGCCATCAGGGACCTCCTCACAGGTGGCAGGTGGGAGACAGGGCTGGCCAGGACACCACAGCTGCTGGGCACACGTAGGCCCTGTGAAGTTGGCAGGGCAGGTGCAGTGGAAGTCATTCCAGGTGACAAGGCAAGTCCCACCATTGAGACAAGGATCAGGCTGAAGGAGAATCAGGGGAGGGACTGGCTCAGGCCTGGGGCTAGCATTGCCCCACCATAACCATCCCTGAAGTGGTTCTTCATTGAGCACCTACTACAGATACATTACCTCCTCACAAACAAATAGAAAAGGTACCAGCATCCCCATTTTAAAGATGAGGAAACTGAGGCTTAGGAGAAACCACTTGTCTAAGTCACCTAGCCAGTAAATAGAGGAGCCAGAGTTCACACCCAAGCTATTCCAATTCCAGGGCTGGTGATCTGTTCTTGAACTTGGGTGTCTCTGTCCCCCAAGCGACTCCTATAGAAAAGCCTGGGTCAGGGTGTCTTCTCTCAGACAAAGACTGAGAGGGGAGGTGTGGGGACTACCAGAGGGCAGGAACAGCTGGCCAGAGAGGAGATGAATGTGAACCCTGCTCTGTCCCTCTCCAGCACTGGGACCTTGGGCAGGTGCTTCACCTCCTGGTGCTGACCAGACCAGTAGGAAGACATGCTAATGCCCAGTGACATAGGGTGGATCCTGGAAAAAGGACCCACTTCCTTCCTCTGGCACTCACACTGCACATGTCCTCGGAGACACAGCCCATGGTGAGGTTCCAGGACTGCCTGCTGCCCAGCCCACTGGGCTGGCTTGAGTTCCCCAGCAGCGGCCGAAAGAAGGGGAGGTGGAGGCCGTTGAGTCTCAGGTCCTGGATGCAGCCTCGGAAGGGCCCACCCCACGGCTGGGCATTGGCTGGGAGGAGCCTCCCACCCACTAGCACCTGCTGCCCCAAGCCCTGCAGCTGGTCAGTCCTGAAGCTGAGCGTCACCAGGTGGCGGAGGCCGTCATCCCAGCGTCCAGGGAGCACCAGAGCAAGACCATCCGGCACCTCAGCCCGGATCTGGCCCTCGCTCAGGAACACTGTCAGGCCAGCTGCTGAGTCGTTGGCAAGTTGGAGCAGAAGGCCGGCAGGTTCCCGAGTGCGGAGGAGGAAGGACACGGTGAGGTTGGGGCCTGGCGGCTCGTCAAGCAAGAAGGAGGCTGAGCTCAGGGTGCCCCCCAAGCCAAATGTGGCAGCAGGAACCTCTGCAGGGAGAAAGGGTGCCGGGCATAAGTCCTGCAGGCTGGGGAAAGGTAGCCCCTGCCCTGGGGCCCACCTGGCTCGGTCCTCACCATCAGCACATGTGGGACCACTATAGGGCCGGGGGCAGTCACAGTGGAAGTGCGTCCACAAGTCCACGCATACTCCTCCGTGGGCACAGGGCAGAGGCTGACACTGCTCCTGGCGCCCGCAGCCCAGGAGGACGTTCTCGCCGAGATCCTCAGGCAGCAGAAGGTGTCCATCCACGTGCACGTCCTGGAGGCAGCCTGCAAAGGCCGCACCACCCAGCTGGCTGGAGCAGAACCCAGCAGGCGTCAGGCCCGGGAATGCCGTAGGCAGGGCCACAGGACTGGAGGCCACACAGAGGTGGGCAGGGCAGCCCTCGTGCCAGAGCCGCAGCTCCAGGACCCCAAGGCGGAGCATCGCCTCCACTCGGTGCCAGTGGCCATCATTTAGCGGCAGGTCCAGCAGCCTCAGGACGAGCACATTATTGCCGTGGCTCCAGAGTGTGGCCTGAAGCGTGGCCCCCACCAGTGCCAGCTCCAAGCTGTCCCGACTGTCAGAGCGAGTGGCCAAGACACCAGCAGGTATCGTGGTACGAAACCTCAGTGCCAGACCCAGGGGGCCACCAGCTGGCACCGAAGCCTGCACAGGGTTCCCAGCCACCATAGAGAAGGTGGTATTCTGGCCACAAAAAGGTCCATGGGTACCAGGTGGGCAGCGGCAGACGTAACTGTGGACCCCTGACTCGAAGGTAGGGATGCAGGTGGCAGCCAGTGGGCAAGTGTGGCCCTGACAGCCAGTGAGCTGCACAGAGCAGTCATGCCCACCCCAGGCCTCTGGGCACCAGCAGATGTAGCCCCCCACCGTGTCTTCACAGGTCCCACCATGGAGGCAGGGCTCCGACAGGCATTCGTCCACTTCTTCCTGACATGTCAGGCCTTCAGGAGAGAGCAGGCCAAGTGTCAGCACCCAAGGCCAGAACCACAGTCTGGACCCAGAGCCTACCTGCCTCTGAGGACAGGGATCTCGGTAGCTATCAAACAAACCTGTTCCCAATTCACAAAGGATTTCTCATGGTCCCCTGAAGTCCCTGGAGGCTGGAATCCCAGATACTCCTTTCTCTACTATATCTGGTGAGCTTCCAGGCCCAGTAGATTCAATCCCCTAGACACTCTCCAATCCCCCTTTCCTCCCACCTCACCTTTCCTGCCTCACCAGCTTTCCGAGCCACACAGAAACTGTCCCCTGGTTTGCAAGCCTTTAGAAACCCCTCCAACATCCATCTCTACCAGTAGCCATATTTCTAAAGCATCACCTAGCCAGGTTTCTCTGCTGCTAAAGGTCCAATCACTCACCCTGGCATTCGAGATTCCTCACAGCCTAGGTCCTACCAGGGGTTCAAATTTCAACTCTGCTCCCTACAAACCTTGAGCTGCCTGTTCCTCCAAGCATTTCCTGGAAAGTCCTGCCTATGGGGCTTTGCTCACACTGCTTGGAATGCCTCGCTTACCTTGCCTTTCAAACTTCTACTCATCCTGCAAAGCCCAAATTCAAACAGCCAGTCCCCCAGGAGGCTTTCTCTGACTCCCAACTCCAAGCTACTATGTCACTCCCAACTCCGTGCCCACTCCCAGGCACAGCTCCTCAGAACACTGTACTGAAAGTATCTGTTCTCTCAGCTGAGATTCCTCCAGGAGCCTGGGTATGCCCTTGGTGCCCAGCCACGGACCTGGCATGGCCTTTGTAGATCGAGTGATGAAATGGAGGGAGTAGGGGTGGGTGTATGCATTTGTGGCACTTGAGTAGCCCCTGGCTCTAGCCCCTTGTTCCTCTGCCCTAGGACCCCTACACTGGCTGTGAAAGGACCACCTCACCGTCCCCCCAGGAGCTCCCATGCCAGGTGCTCTGGCCCCAGCTTGGGTCAAGAGGTCACAGCCCAACCCCAGCTCAGCCAGAGCCTCCACAAAACCACCAAGGCCAGCCCTGCCCCAGACTCCAGCCAGAGGAACCTGAGCCCAGAGAAGCCACCAGGATTTGAATCCTGGCCCTGGTCAGCCCACAAACACCACAGCCTCCTCCTGGGGACAGCCAGCCCCACCTGCCCCTGCCTGAGGCCTCAGCCCTGCATACCTGCCAGGAGCCACAACACCTCCAGGAAGGTCCACAGAGCCCGCAGCCCCATTGCATTTCCCCACACACGGCAGGCATTGAGGCTGGGGAGAACAGCTTCCTGCCAGACCCAGCCGCCTCCTTCGGAGCCAGCTCAGGAATGCCAGGCACTGGCCTCCCCCACACCCAGCACAACCCAAAGGGAGGACGGGGTGGACAGTGGCCAGGAGCCCAGCCCCACAGCCAGGGCTCCCCATCCCAGTCCCTGACCTCAGAGGTCTGACCTCCCTGTCACCCAGCAGCTGAGCTCAGCTTGGAGAGGAGCTGGGCTCCCGCTGACATGGGTGAGCCCGGGTTGGGGGGGTGACCCTCCCTCTCTAGAGCCTCTGTCACTTCATCTGTAAGATGGGGGTTTAGAACCCCATCCCTCAGGCCATGGTGAGGAGGAAAGCAATGCAAGAACATTCTTCAGAGGCAGGGCCTGCTGTGGTGGGCACACTGTGTGCCTGGCACCCACGATGCCACTGCTTCTGGGGCAGGACTCAGGGAAACTCAGCCCATGGGGGCAGCAGATGGACTCCCAGGGTGCCCAGGGCTGTTGGCCACCCAGGAGTGGGATGCTGAGCCTCAGCATCTCTGGGCGGGTTGAGGGTGGAAAGGACAGCGGCGACCACCACCTCCTTCCCCTGGGCAGAGGAGCCTGTGCCCAGGACCCGTGCCAGGGGGAGGAGGCCGCCTGCCGAGCAGGATGTGGGCGGGTGTGGGGAAGCGACACGAGGCATTCCGAGGAGGGGGCAGGGACACTCGAGT